GCTGGATTCGAACCTGCCACCTTAGGTGTATGTGGCTGGCGTCTTAGCCACTTGAGCCACATGCGCCGAGCTGATAACTCATTTTTCTGATGAGGAAACTGAGGGAGAGGACAAGTAACTTAACCCAGATGACAGGTGTATGCAGTATAAGCTAAATACATACCTATGGAAGAGCTTTGGCCTCAGATTTTTCACTAGTCTGTGATATTTCAAATAATCCAGGAAGAACAGGGGTTGAATTCTGACTCGATCTCGCTGCTGAAAGAACTTGGACTAGTCTGTAAACACCTTTGGTAAAATTATGATTAACTTTGAGGCACTCCCTAGATCTTGCTTTTCTCTTTTCTCATTCTTCCATATGGACAACTGCAAGAACATTCATATTATCTGAAGTGCACAAATCCTGCCTGTGTTCAAGACCCAACACATTCTTAATACCTCTGGGTTTTTTATTTTTTATTTTTTTAAAGATAGAGTCTCATTCTGTTGCCCCAGGCTACAGTGCCATTACATCATAGTTCACAGCAACCTCAAACTCTTGGGCTCAAGAGATCCTCTTGCCTCAGCTTCTCCAGTAGTGAGGATTACAGGTGCTCACTATGACGACCACTGTTTTCTTTTTTGAGTAGAAACAGGATCTTGCTTTTGCTCAGGCTGGTCGCCAACTCCTGAGATCATGTGATCCTCCCACCTTGGCCTCCCAGAGTACTAGGATTATAGGCATGAGCCCCCTTGCGTGGCTTCCTAACATCTCCGGAAATAGTTTGGTGTAGGAGAAGAGCCCTAGGCTGAGGGTCAAAATGCTTATTGCTCTCCTTTTTTTTTTGAGACAGAGCCTCAAGCTGTCGCCCTGGGTAGAGCCCTGACATTATACCACACAGCAACCTCCAACTCTTGGGCTCAAGCAATCCTCTTGCCTCAGTTTCTCCATTTCTAGTAGAGATGGGGTCTTGCTATTGCTCAGGCTGGTCTCTCCAGCTCATGAGCTCAAGCAATCCACCAGCCTCAGCCTCCCAGAGTGCTAGGATTACAGGTGTGAGTCACCACTCCTGGCTCCTATTGCAGTGCTGATGAGGTTACTTATCTTTTGTATGATCTCAAGAAAGTCCCATACTCTCTGGGCCCCAGTGGTTGCATTTGTAAAATGTGGTTTTAGGCTAAATCAATAGCTTTTTTTTTTTTTTTTT